AGTTTTTCAGGTATATCCTGTACTTTATTATTGTTACTAGGACTTTCCATTTCTTTGATGTACTTAATTAGATCATTAATTAAATGATACTTTTCGTAAATAAGCTTCAGTCCGTAGTCTATCAGCGGAACTTTGTCTTTTTCTTGAGTGTATAGATCATCTAGAATGTAGCGTCCTTTTACAGATGTATACTTTTTAAAAAGTTCCATGCCTTTTGAATCTACTTTGTATGAGACATGATAAGCATTCTCTCTATCCATATCCTCTAAGGTAAGCTGAAGTATATTTTCCAAGTTTGTATCGTCAACCATCAAAGTGCATGTTCTAGTGCTTAGATCGAGCTCTCCATAAGATAGAACTATATTATCTACCTCTCCATACATGTCAAATTCTCGGGTTATTCCGTGCGATGGGTTGTACATAAGTTGATTTGGTCTTATAAGTTCAGTAGCTAGGGAGATAAATGCATATTTAATTCTTTCTTCAGTTCCACTCAATAATTCAGGACTTATCTTTTGCATAATAGACCTTTCAGCTAAACTGTATATAAAGTGCTGGCAGATATCGTTCTCGATTATTTTTAGAATAGTCTCCTTCTTCTTCTCACTAAGCTCCTCGCTTTCTATTTTTAGATTATCTTTAAGGATGCGCTTCAGTATGTTCATATAGTTTATTTCTTTAACTGATGTGATGGATATATCGTTTCTATCAAGAGACTGGCACTCTTTTAGTATTCCTTCAATATTGATTGTTAGTTTAGCTTCTCTCATGATCATTGCTAAAATTTTAGTAGCAAAAAAATATTTTAAGGATCAGGGGCTTCCTAAGGCGGAAATATTTTATTTTTATTTTTATACATATATAGTAGCAATAAAGTTACTTAAAGTTAAGAGCTTTATCACATCTTTCAATGACTAGATGTTCTATGAGCTGCTTTTTCTTCGAACTCATAAAAGAATACTTGATATTCTATTCGAAGTTCTATTGGTATTCCATATTACCTAGTATAGTTTCCGTGGTAATGTATCCCAAAAATGTTATAGTTTGAAAAAGTGAAAGCAATAAACCTAAAACTAATTTATTTTGATATTAACTAAGTAGGACCAAATAGCTCAAGATATGCTATGGCTGTTCATGTTTCTTAGTTGGCTGCTGTCCATGGCATAGTATAGATTATCAGTATTAGTATCACCTATTCTCTGGCTATTCTTCGAATAATTATGCTTGAGAGACAGTGCTGATGTTGCTATAAGAGTAATACCGCCTAGTAGCAGTGTTCCAATTAAGCCTTTTTTGCGGGGCAGTAAAACTGATGAAGAAGGCTTTGTTTCCTCTGTCTCTTCTATTTTTAGTTTTTCTAGCATTATATATCCATCTACTTCCCTCTGTTCTTCTGTTTCCTTTGTCACCACTTTTATGTTTAGCGAGTTTCCAAATGCTTCTGTCTTTTTAAACAGATACTTTTTCTGTGCTGGAGAGAGGATGGGAAGGAAGGGCAAACTGCATAAAAGCTCAAAAATGTTGTTGTATGCTAGAATTTCCTTCTTTTCAGCACACTTCAGCTGATATATATCGTTTTTCAGGCTATTAATAGAGCGCATTATTTCTTCGGTCTCTCCATCTCCTGCTTGTTGGTACTTTCCCCTCTCTTTTGCCAAAGCCTCTCCCTTCTCTTTTATTTTTTGAATGACTTCATATTTTCTTTTGCTCGCTAGTTTTTTTAGATTTGTAGCGACCAAGTAATCTTTTTCAAAGTTGCTTAAATCAGCATCTAGCCTCAGAGTGTTTGGTGCACCATCTGTTTCTTTCAGCATTCCAGTGTTTGCCATGTATTCTATTACTTTGGTTATGTATTTATCTATTCTCTTTTCTCGTTGAATGTCTCCCAGATGGTTAGCAATAGAAATGACTATTTTTAAGTCTTCTTCTTTGGTAAACACTTTTCTAATTTTTTTAGCTATATCTTTCGAATTGTCTCCAGAGTCCATCTTTCTTTTTCTAATTTCCTGAAATAGACTGCAAAGCTTTTGGTGATTTTTCTGAACAAACTGCAGTCCGTAATCGACCAGCGGAACACCTGTTTCTTTGGTCTTTGCATACAGCTCTTCTGCAGTGTAAAATGTTTTTATGCCCGAGTGCTCTTTTAAAATACGTAGGCTCAGTGCTATGCGAGAAACCGTAACATAGCCCAAGAACAGATTTTCCAGACTCTCTGCGGTAAATTGAAGCAAGCCGTCCAAGTTTGAAAACTTTGCATCGTCGATCTCCAGAGTGTATGTTCTAGTCGTTAAGTTGGGGTTTTTATCATCGGAGAGCATGTGCTCCACTGCTTCATTCTTTATCTGTCTGTGAATGCCATACTCTGGGTCGTATATGAGCGAGTTTGGCTTTATCATGTCGTTAACTAGATGGATAAACTCGGTTTTAACCACTTTATTTTTTTTGCTTTTTATTGCATCGCATAAATCGTATATAGCATCCACTTGGTACGCATTGTCTATGAAGTACGTATAGAGCCTATTCTTGATAACTTTTAGTATTTTTTCCTTTTCTTCCCCACTGAGCTCATCACTTTCTATTTCTAGGTTCTTCGTAAAGATGTCCCTTAGTATAGATAAAAATGCTACCTTCTCGTCGTATTTATTAAACACATCGTTAGGCTGGCTAGTATCAATAGATTGGTATGCCTGCAGCATTCCACCTAGGTTTACCTTCAATTCAACTTTTCTTAGGACCATTGTAAAAATTTTAACCCAAAGAAATATTTAAACCTAAAACTTTTCTGTTCACTCTCATATGCAGCAAGCCATTTGCAAAATTTTACAAAAATATTCTACTACTTATTGAGCAAGCAGGCCGCTATTATGCAAGACCAATAATTGCTTAGCAATTACTTCTAAATATTGGATAGTAAGCTATTAGGCTGGTGTTAGTTGTAAATCCCTTTCATAAATGACTGACTATTGGCATTATCTCTGCGATTATTTTCATCTGACGAGATATTTATAAGAGCACGGCTAGAAGAAGTGCAACAGCAGACTCTTAGTGCCCAGTGTTCTCTTGTGCAGAGCCGGACAAAAAGTGCAGCACTCTGTGTTCCCACGCGGTCTCCCATCGCAGTACTATCAAAGCTGTCACGCGCTTAACTTCAGA